CACAAGAGTGGGAACCTAAATATAATAGTTATACTCTATGTGTGTATATTCTGCTAAAATACATCCTATCATGTATAACTAAAAATTTTAAAAAGAATAGATTATTTCTTAGTATAGGAAAGTATACTTTGAAAGTTATGTATTCAAAAATTAAGCAGAAAAACATGGGCGTGGTAGCACACACCTGTAATCCCAGTGGTTTGGGAGATTGAGGCAGGAGGATCATAAGTTCAAAGCCAGCCTCAGCAACTTAGTGAGACCCTTTCTCAAAATAAAAAATGGGCTGGGCTGGGGATGTGGCTCAGTGGTTGAACCCCTGGGGTTCAATCCCTGCTACCCAAAACAAAACCTTATGAAACCAAATTTGTTTCCTTTCCTCTGGTGTATACAGAGGTGTTTACTTGGTATCATGCAAGCTTTCAGGCTGTTTAATAAAAGAGGGAGAAACTGATTTTTATTCAGTGATTTGGGGAAAGTACCTCATAAATGAAAACAGCCCACTTTAAACTCAACCCTTCTATCCTTTCCCTAAAAAAGCAGAGTGAAAGGATCAGTATTCCCTCAGGTTGATGCTCCAGTCTCTAAAAGTGATTTGCTAAACCTATAGAGCAACTAATTGTCCCAAAGAGACAAGATACTTGATAAAATTTTTTCACCAAGACAATAAAAGAAGGTTTTGATTTTTCTTTTTTCTTCAGGCTATGAGTCTAGGCAAGAGGGTAGATTAAATTAAAACTACTGCCTAGAAAATCAATGGCAAACTTCTGATACCTCTGAAGAATTTCATTCTGTTCTAGTTGGTAAAGCAGCCTGACTTAGATGCAGTTGGGGTGGGACAAGTTCTGGGGCTTGAGCTCTGAGCTTTGTGCATGCTAACCAGGAGCTCTACCATTGAGCTCCATCCCCAACACACCAGATGCAAATTCTGGTGGTCTGTTTGAGTGGTAATGAGAAAACCACCTCTAATCTCCTTACCTGGATTTGTTCCTAGAAGTGATCTTTTCATGCTGGGTCTTCTTCCCTCACAGGCTTTCAGGGAATGCACTTTTAGAACTAGTTTTATTCCAGAGTCCTGAATTAGAGATTTTTAGGACAAAAATACTAGTTTTAGGACAAAACTAGTATTTTTTAAGGTGAAAGAGATTTTTGTTTGTTATTTGGGTTGAATTTTTGTATCTGGAGGCAAATTATGGCATAAATTTCATTTACTTTTAAAATTTTTTATTTTTATTTTTATTTTTTTGTATTGGGGATTGAACTGAGCACCTTACCACTGAGCTACATCCCCATCCCCCCCCTTTTTTTGAGAGAATTTTTTTTTAATATTTATTTTTTAGTTTTTGTTTGTATGTGGTGCAGAGGACCGAACCCGGGCCAAACGTATGCCAGGCGAGCGCGCTACCGTTTGAGCCACATCCCCAGCCCCCCCCCTTTTTTATTTTGAAACAAAGTCTTGCTAATGTTCCAAGGCTGGCTTTGAACTTGTGATCTTCCTGCCTCAGCCTCACAAGTCACTGGGATTATAAACCTGCATCACTGTGCCCTACTAATCATCTGTTTTGCTTTGTTTTTTCTTTAGTTGTAGATGAACACAGAGACTATTTTTTCTGAGGTGCTGAGGATCTAACACATGCTAGGCAAGCGCTTTATCACTGAGCCACAATCCCAGCCCAATCATCAGTTTTTGTTTTTTTTTTTAAGCAAGTTCTTTAAAAGCCATGTGTATTTCGTTCTGCTATATTGTAATATCTGGAAACAAGTACTGTCTTTCGGTTTTGGTTTATTTATTTATTTTTTAAGACATTTGCAATATTTTCTATCAGTGTTTTTTTTATTTTGAATTGAATTTAATCAAAGAATAAAACACCAGGTATTTTTACCCTAATAGGAAAAGGAAGGTCAGGGAGGGACTTCTGAAGTCACTTTAAAAGATTTTTTTCATAGACAAATAATAACCCAGACTCTGGGAGTGAGGTTAGGTAACATCTTCAAGCACATGTACACCTCTGAAAAATAGGGTTAATATTTCCTGCCTTACAGGGTTGCATAAATATTGATTAAAATAATATAAAGTGTTACTATGTGCTAAGCACTGAGGAATGACACAAAATAATTCCTATTCTTAAGGTATTTATATTCTAAGGGGGGAACAACAAACACCTTACACTGTTGTTTTGACTTTGACTCAGAAAATGAGAAATAACATTTGACTTTCTTCAGAGGTTATATTGAGAATAAACTGAATGGACAATGGCAAATTCAAGAACATAATTAAGGAGTTGTGGTAATCTAAGCCAAAGATAATGGTGTTTTAGAACAGGATCATAAAAATAGAGAGGTACAAAGTGTTCAGATTCTGGATAATTTGTAGAGTATGTAGCATAGAAACGTTGCTAACAGACTGAATGTGCAGTTAGGATGACTGATTTTTTGCCTATGGAATTAAACAGTGGATTTGCTGTTTATTGAAATGGCAAAGACTACCCGAAGGAAGTGGATCAGGAGCTCAGGGCTATACCTACTCAGTTTGAGATGCCTACTAGATATCAAAAGGAGATGTCATTAATAGGCAGTTGGATATACAAACCCTGGATCATAGGAGAAAAGTCCTAACTAGATCATGAATTTGGGAATTGGCAGCATATAGATGGGATTTAAAACCAGACCATGAATGAGACTTGATGAGACCACTCTGGAAGTGAAACAGAACAGAGAACAAAGGACAGACCCATGGGATATCTAGTGTTTGGAAGTTGCAAGGAATGAGAAGGAACCAGCAACTGAAACAAATCAGTCAAAAAGGGAGAGGCTGGGGTGTGGTGGTACATGCCTGTAATCCCAACGATTTGGGAGCCTGAGGCAGGAGGATCAAAAGTTCAAAATAGCCTCAGCAATTTAGTGAAGTCCTAAGCAATTTAGCAAGACCCTGTCTCAAAATAAAAAATAAAAAGGACTGGGGATGTGACTCAGTGGTTGATACCCTTGGGTTCAATCCCTGGTATAAAATAAAGGCAGGAGGATGTGCTGCTGGGGAGGCCAGGCAAAGGTATTTTAGAGAAGAGGATATCACAGGCTCTGCCAGATACTGTGGCAAAGTCATGTAAGTTGAGAACTAAGAATTGATCTTTGGATTTAGAAATGCAAAATCAATGGTGACCTTGACAAGTCAAGAATAGATGAAGAAAATTTGAGGACTGAAGTTTTGGCATTCTAGAGTCTTCATGTGAAAGTAAGCAGGGAAATGGGATGTAGTTGGAGAAATAAGCAGAATAAAGATAGATTTTCTTTAAGAAGAGAGGATGTTTGTCTGATGGAAAAATCCAATAGAGGGAAGGACATTAACAACAAAGGAAGAAGACCTGGTGGAGCAACACGAATTTGACAGAATTCAGCTATAGGAATAAGACAGTTCATCCATGGTCACAGGTGAAAAGGTCAAGTATTCAGGCACAAGTGAAGGTGGAGGGCTAGGGACGTAGCTCAGTTGGTAGAGTGCTTGCCTTGCATGCACAAGGACCTGGGTTCAATCCCCCACACCACACACATACACACACACAAAAATAAAATAAAATAAAAGCAAGCGAAGGTGGAGGCAGGTAAATGTAGGGAAGCTTGCGGATATTTTCTCTGAAGGCTCTGCTTTCTCAGGGAGCAAGAACATCATTTGAAAGAATGGAGGAGATGCTAGAGGTTTGAGAAGAGAAGGTGCAAAATCATGGGAGAACTTAAATGTATGTAACAATAAGGAATTATAGCAAGGGAAATGTTAAGATTTGCTTGATAGCAAAACTAATAAACAGTGTCAGATTAATAGCAATAAGGCCAGTAAGTCTCAATGAGATTTGATGTGCTTCTAAATCAGGCCAGTGCTTCTAAATCAGGCCAGTGCTATGTTGCTGGAAACATTAGCATACAAGTAGTAATGGAAGCTGCAGGTGTGGGTGAAACTGCCCAAAGAGCAGAGTGCCATTAGCAATGGATAGAAGGCACAGGAAGAGAAATCCCCAGACTCTGATGGATCTGAAGGATCTGACAGGGAAAACGGGAGGAGAAACCAAGAGAAAGAGGACACAGAAACCAAAGAAAGATTTTTGTGGTGGTGGTGGTGGGGGGGGAATGGCTGCTTTCCTCCTGCTGCAGTAGGGTAAGACAAGGCTGCATACATGTTCTCTAGGTTGATGACCTGGGAAGTTAGGTCTGGTGAAGGAATAGAGCAGAACTCCCTTTCACTGTTTTTTGAGGATTAAATAAAAACCGGAAGCAGAGATGGTAGTAAACCAAGTCTATATTTACAAGATTGTACTAAGTCTGGAATGGCACTCCTTGTAGAGATAACATCTTCTGTAAAAGGCCCAGGACATAGATAAGGAGTTTTAAATAGTTTGATATGAAATTTAAGTATTTTTATTTTAAAGAGTGGAAGAGAGAGAGAGAGAATTTTTTTTTTAGTATTTTTTTAGTTCTCGGCAGACACAACATCTTTGTATGTGGTGCTGAGGATCGAACCCGGGCTGCACGCATGCCAGGCGTGCGCGCTACCGCTTGAGCCACATCCCCAGCCTGAAATTTAAGTATTTTTAAAAAATATTTTATTTGATCATCTGGCTTCTAAAACTAATTAATATAATTTTCTCCTTGGGGGAGAAAAGTGAAACAGTTGTATATATCCCCCTTTGCTAACTTTTTAAAAAATATTTTTTAGTTATCAATGGCCCTTTATTTTATTTATTTATATGTGGTGCTGAGAATCACACATGCTAGGCAAGCACTCTACCACTGAACCACAACCCTGGCCCCTCTTCACTAACTTTTTTAATACCCTGAGATCTTTTTCATGAAATAGATTTTGAAATTTCTGAAGCTCTTGAAATGGGAAATTAGTAAAATTGTTTTCAATAACAATGTGTTCTCATGTCCCTATGCCAGCCATCCTAGCAAACTGATGAAAGCTTTTTCCTTGGTTTGCTTATTTCAGGATGTAAGTCAGAGTATAGCAGAAAATGTCCACTGAACGGACTTCTTGGACAAGCATGTCCACTATTCAGAAAATAGCCCTGGGCCTTGGGATTCCAGCCAGTGCAACAGTTGCCTATATCCTATACCGCAGATACAGGGAAAGCAGAGGTATGTGAACCCCACAATTGTGCCTGTGAAAATACTCCAACCATGTTCCTGCCTTGTTAAGTTGAAATGAAACTATCTCCTTGCCATACCATGTATTATTTGGTGAGATATAATTGACTTTCTGTGAGGAGTTTGAAAATATTTCTTTTTTTCTATGTTCTTACTGTGAAGCTAGTCTGTGAAATAACTTATAACTCCATTGATCCTTTTACAAAATCAATGTGACATGGGGTTTTTTAAAATATTCTATGTTCCTTTTAATTAGCTATTAGGCTGGACCTAGAGAAATAACTAATGTACAAATAAGTCGGAAGAAGTTTTGAGTCTTAGATGGCTTAGACAACTTCTGACCTTCATTGTTCTCCAGGAGTCTTGTCTTAGAAGTAGTTTGCCCAAAACCTAGAATACCTTTTCATAGTCTGCTTTTCCCTTGTTGACATCCCCATGTTAGCATTTCCTGGTGTTAGCCTGGTATCCAAGAGAAAGGGCCATGTGTGCTGGGGGTGGGGGTGGGGTTGCTGGGGGTTGAACTCAGCCTCACGAATACTAAGCATGTACTCTACCACTGAACAACACATGTACTCTACCACTGAACAACACCCTAAGCCCCATCTCTGTTCTTTTAGGAACTTCTAATTCTCACTCAAATGCTGCTTCTGTTTGTCATTATGGTTGACATTCACAGTTTTACCTCTTGATCAATGTCTCTGACAACCAGATTGAGAAGGGATGGTGGTAGTTTCTTGTGTATTTAAGTCTGATCTAATGAGCCATGATCTGTGCAGAAGAGCGGCTGACATTTGTTGGGGAGGACGACATCGAGATAGAGATGCGAGTTCCCCAAGAGGCTGTGAAGCTCATCATTGGTCGGCAAGGAGCCAATATTAAACAGGCAAGTGTTTGAGCAGGCAAACAGCTTTCCCAGATATTGTGTCTATTTATTGACTTTTCATTCCTTCCTCTCACCCTATATCACAAATCGAACACTTACTTTCTGTAAGAAAGTAAAGCTCTGGATAAATTACAGAAAAATTTTAACTATGCTATTTTCCTTCCTAGAAAATAGATGATTTAGCTTGAAATAGAAGTTTTTAATTGGATGATTCTCAGCTTGGTATAGGTTAAACCAGTCTTTTCTGTTATGGAATTAATGAACTCGATCATTAATTTGGCAGTAAATATAGAATTGCCTGGTTTTTCTTATCATCCTCCATTGTTCAGTTAAAATGTCAAGAAAACAAAATATTTAATTCTCTAATCAAGATAAAACTGGTGAGGGATGGATTATAAACATAGAAATGGTTTTGAATTAACTGCTATTTGTAATTACCTTGGTCATTAATCTCCTTAAGCAGAAGTAAATGAAGACTGATTATAGCATTTCTGAATAACTGGTGGTTTTATCAACTCCATCTACCTCCAGGGTTTGTTTAGAGTGTCATTAGCTGGGCCCCACTGGGGGCTTTTCCAGAATACACTGTCATGTCTCCTTTCCTTTGCAGCTGCGGAAACAGACAGGTGCACGGATTGATGTGGACACAGAGGATGTAGGCGATGAGCGAGTGCTGCTTATCAGTGGTTTTCCTGTTCAGGTGTGCAAGGCCAAAGCAGCAATCCACCAGATCCTGACAGAGAATACCCCAGTGTCTGAACAGCTCTCAGTCCCCCAGAGATCTGTGGGCAGAATCATAGGTACCACTGGACAGCTTCCTGTGCTGTTTCCTTTATTCTTTACTTTTGCCTTTCTTTTACATCTTCCCAGGGATTCTCCTGGCCTACTCCCCCTTCACCTTACTGTGGGGGTGGGGGGGGATGGAAATTGAATCCAGAGCTTTACTTTCTTACAGAAACAAAACCCATTACTTTAAGAAGTGATATGATCAGAATATGTCTATAGGTTCCAGAACATTCTGGTAAATGCAGTCATCTCATGATAAAACCTGTAGTTATCACGTTATCCCAAGTCATTCTGAACCGTGCTGATCTGGCACCTTTTATGCTTCTCCTGGATCATTCCTTAATGCTGCTGTTTGAGAAAGAAGTTCTTGCCCTCATTTCAGGCTATACAAACTTTACATTTCCATCTCCTAAGATACACACTACATGGTATAGCCTTGCTGAGTAGCCAAAAAATGAAAATGACATGAAGTTAGCCTACCCAAAGTATGGAGTTTAAGTAAAATGGGTAAACCAGAGTCCTGTATACTCTTTCCTACAGTAATGTCTTGAATAGCTCATGATTGCTGTGCAACGCCTTCCATTCTGTTCAGTTTGGAAATGAGAATTGACTCCCTTCTTGATAGTATGTATAAAATGTTGATTTCTCTAATAGTTAAGGTCAGACACATTTTTGTGTATTGTTCAATGTAGGGAGAGGCGGCGAGACAATTCGTTCTATCTGTAAGGCTTCTGGAGCCAAAATTACCTGTGACAAAGAATCAGAGGGCACATTACTATTATCGAGACTTATAAAAATCTCAGGAACACAGAAGGAAGTGGCAGCAGCCAAGGCAAGTAGTTGACAGACTTGGATCATTCCTAAGAGTGTGAAGAACCCATTATAAACTCCTTTCTGGATCAACATCTGGCTGCATAGATACTATCCCTTCTTTTATTTTTCACAGCATTTGATACTGGAAAAAGTTTCAGAAGATGAAGAACTTCGGAAGAGAATTGCCAATTCTGCAGAAACCAGAGTCCCACGAAAGCAGCCAATCAGTGTGAGAAGAGAGGAGGTGACAGAGCCAGGTGGAGCTGGAGAACCAACTTTATGGAAAAACAGCAGTTCTAGCATCGGGCAAGCTGCACCCCTGGCAGCTTCTCCCTGCAAAGGAAGTGGCGACATGGCTATTGTAGGCCCAAAAAATGGTTCCAAGGAGAAACCTAACGGTGACAGCTTTCAGAAGTCTGGAGACCAGACCAGTCCTGAGATGTCCATGTTTGAAAGTATGTAACAAAGAGGGAACATATGAAGGATGGGAATACTGGCTTAACTGACCCAAAATAGGAAGCAATTTTAAAAAAATCTATTTTTGTGACTGTATTTATAAGTCTATCATCATAGATTAATGTACTATTTTACTTAATACTAAACATTAATAATATTTTTTCTGAATATGAGCCAGCTGGTGAAGGCAAATGAGATAGGAATATGCTAACACAGCAAACTAGTCTGTGAACAGTACATCAAATAATTGAATTTACATTATAGTCTTTCACCAGACATACTTTTTAAATGAGTAAGTCCTCAACCTGATTTTTCTTTTTATTGCATGTCTCATTGATGGTTCTAAAAACCATCACTCTTCAAGAAGAAAAAGGCTATGAGCTTTCTCTTCTATGCAAAGGTGCTAACATGGGCAGGAAAGACGCGGACCCTCAAGAGGCTCCTTGGAGGGCTTGGGGATGTGTCTCAATGGTAGCGTGCTCGCCTGGCATGCGTGTGGCCCAATCCTCAGCACCACATACAAAGAAAGATGTTGGGTCTGCCAAAAACTAAAAAAATAAAAATATATATTAAAAAAAATTCCCCCCCCCCCCCCCCTTTAAAAAAAAAAAAAAAAAAGAGGCTCCTTGGAGCTGGATGTGGTGGCGCACACCTGTAATCCCAGTGACTCGGGAGGCTGAGGCAGGAGGATTGCAAGTCGAAAGCCAGCCTCAGCAATTTAGCAAGGCCCTAAGCAACTCAGCGAGATCCCATCTCTAAATAACATACAAAAAAGGGCTAGGAATGTGACTTGGTGGTTAAGCACCCCTGAGTTCAATCCCCAGTACCCCTCCCCCCCAAAAAAGAGGCTCCTTGGCTTGTCCAAGGCCACAGTGATAATCCAGAATGGGATCTGGAACTAGCAGAATAGCTGTCCATGTACCTGATCCTCCTGCAGATAGAAGAGTTACCTCTGTTATAATTGATGACTGATTTGAATACATGACAAAGAATGTAAACTCATTTACTTACATAGAAAGTTACAGAAAACAGCTAAGTACTTAAGACATTCTCGGATGAGTCATCCACCGTTCCTCCAACCATTTTTAAAATGGTTAACAGCCTTTTGGTATTGGTATATCTCATTCTCCTGATACATTCCCTTCTTTGAACCAGAGGTGATTCTGATATATTCACAGTCCTTATCACTGTGTTTAGTCCCCAGTCCCGATTTCAGTTTTCATGCTGATGAGTACCTGGAAGTCTACGTCTCTGCTTCCGAACATCCTAACCACTTCTGGATCCAAATTATTGGCTCCCGCAGCCTGCAACTAGATAAGCTTGTGAGTGAGATGACCCAGCACTATGAGAATAGTCTGGTAAGTTTCCATAGGAACAGGACAGTACTGGGGCATGACTTTTTCATTGTCTCATATTCTCTTTCTCTGGGGCAACATTGTTCTTTCTGGTATTCCGTTTATTATCTACCACTTTTTAACTCTCCCTCCTGCTAACTCTTCATCCCCATATGTAGCCTGAAGACTTGACTGTGCATGTAGGAGATATTGTAGCAGCACCTTTATCTACAAATGGTTCCTGGTATCGAGCCAGGATCCTTGGCACCTTGGAGAATGGGAACTTGGACCTCTACTTTGTTGACTTTGGAGATAATGGAGATTGCCCACTGAAGGACCTCAGGGCTCTCAGGTCAGTGTGGAGGCCAGGGTGGAGTCAGCTGTGGTCATCGAGTGGTGAGTTGTTGGCACTCATCACCGGGGCAGTTCAGAAGGGAACCTGTTTATAGAGAACAAGTGAGTAACTTCTGGCTCTAGTTGGTTTTGTGTAAAAGCAAGGAATATAAGGTGTCCCTTCTAGCCTTTGCATTCTAAGTTGGATTTATTTCATTTTAGGAGTGACTTCCTAAGCCTTCCATTTCAAGCAATAGAATGTAGTCTGGCCCGGATTGCCCCCTCAGGTAAATCAGTCATGCCACCTATTGACCTTGCCTTCAAGTTGAATAACATTCATATAGAACACAGGAGGTGCCTTTTCCCTACTAACTCAAGAAAACAACAGCCAGAAACTTGCTTAGCTATCAGACCTGAACTCCCCAGAGAACATAAATGCCTTCCTGGATAGAGAGGGTGGTTCCAACTTCCCTCCAGGGTATAATCCCCACCCTGACAGCACTGACCCCTCCCGAGGCACCCCTATTTAAAATTTCCTACCAGGTGAACAGTGGGAAGAGGAAGCTTTGGATGAGTTTGACAGACTGACTCACTGTGCTGATTGGAAACCCCTGGTGGCCAAAATCTCTAGCTATGTCCAGACTGGGATCTCAACTTGGCCAAAGATCTATTTATATGACACAAGCAATGGGAAGGTAAGACTGGAATTCATGTAATATTTACATTTTCTTGTGGGTTTTCATAACGTCATTTATTCTTTCTTTCCCAGAAACCCTTACCTGATATTACTCCTACTTTGTTAGATCTTATTCACCATCCCATCAAAAGAAGATCTAAAGTATCAATCCCAGCTCTTCTGTCCTGTTTCCTCAGATTTGCCCTTTCTTACAGAAAGGTCATTATTCTCTTCCACTTTTTCTCTTAGAAACTTGATATTGGGCTAGAATTAGTTCGTAAAGGATATGCAGTTGAGCTTCCTGAAGATGTGGAAGAAAACAGAGCTGTCCCTGACATGTTAAAGGATGGGGTAAGTAAGCCATTGTAGTCACTTAGGGTGCTCTGCTGGAAACACATTCTAGTTATGACATTTTGTAAACTTTCAGTGAACTGAAGCTTGTGCTGCCCCTGGGAACCTTTAGATTACTTCATTTTCCAAACTACTTGGAGGCATTGTATTCCTCTTGGAAGCCAAACTCAACTGTCTTAACCAGATTCTATGAACAAAATGATAAGATAGTCTCTCCTTTCCCACCCACCAAGATGTTCTTCCTTTTTCTCTTGTTTTCATGTCCTCAGGCCACAGAAACAGATGCCTCTCTTGCCAGCATGCTCACTGAATCCAAAAAAAGCCCTGGAGAGATGGCACATACCCTGTCCTGCCTCAGCTTATCAGGTACAAACAGCATTGCCCACCTAGAGCACCTTTGGCTCTCCAGACTAGTGAGGTTAAATTAAACCATTTTTCTCCTGGGCCTGGAGTACCTATTAGAGTAGCGCAAGGTCTAACTTTCTCATTTCTGCTCATTAGAAGCTGCCTCTATGTCTGGTGATGATAACCTTGAAGATGACTACTTACTCTGAAGTCTGGGCTTCCAGTGGCTCAGCCATCTGCTTTGCTGTGTGAGTGGAGCTATCATCTATCTATAGCAACAGGGAAGTAATGAGGTGACAGTAGGGGCCTTGCTTTATTCCCGCTTCCTTATGCCCTACCTTTATATATTTCTCCTCAGTTGCTTTCCTGCAGCTCAATTTGCTCTCAGGTTGAGCCCTTTCAAGCTTTTTGTCTGTGTGTTTGTGTCTTTGGCAGGATTTGGCACATGATTTGGTGCCTGGAGAGAAGAGTCTAAGAGATCCATACAGTCCTTTATTACACAGTGTGGCTTGCTGTGGACCAGATCCATTTTCTCCTTCTGTTGAATTACCAGAAAGTGTGTGGAGGAGAGGAAGACATCACCCACCTCACCTCCTTCTCCATCCCTCCCCTATCTTTCAGTGTTTGGATGTTGTGTCCTCTGCCAGTCGTAATGCACATCACTGCTAGACTGTGTTCTTTTTCAGCTGGGAAACAGCCAGAGTTTGGTCATTAGAAATGATTCTGCAGACTTATGACTCGCCTCAAAAGGTGACTGGTTAAGGGAAGTGTTTGAACAGGGAACTCGAAGACTGTAGTTGAAATCAGGAGGCAAAGGCAAAAATCAGCCTAACTGTATTAAAAAAATCTTCAGGAGGTGGGAAGAGAATGCCACCTCTCAGACTCAATTGATGTGTTGTTGGAGACAGGTTTTGGGAACAAGCTCCAGCTATTTCTTTGTGAACTTTAGTTAAAATACAAGTAGAAAAGGAGAAATGTGACTCAGGAAATACTCTAAATTGCTAGTATAGTACTTGTATGTGTATATACACACCTTGAGAGAGAACACACATGTATAGTTCTGTTTAAATCATTTGGAGGAAGTCTTTGCTTAATAAAGTTCTCAAAAAAGTTAAATGCTCATTAAATCACAAAGTGGAAGCAGACCTGTAGGTAAAATATATTCTGAGTCTAAATCTGGTGAGAATTTTCAAATTTTCAACCACTTCACATCAAGGGGACCATCTATGAAAAAAAGTGTTCTTTTTTCTGCTAGACTGTGTTATTTTTTAGCCTGGGAAACACCCTCCCATATATAATTCATATTCTTTCCCTAATGTTACTTCAGAACTAACCAATCATTCATTAAAAACCAGACCAATTTAGGTTTAGGCTATGTAAATAAGAACCCTTCCTAAACTATTGGAACTAGAATCCTGGATTCCAAGAATAGGTCTCCATTATAAACTTAAGACTTTAGGTGTCCTTTTTCCTCATTAGCACATATCCGTTTCTGACGGTACTATGAGGTTTCAGTGAGAACCGTGAAGGTACTTAAAAATGTAAATGTAGCCGAGAGTGATGGCACATGTCTGTAATCCCAGTGATTTGGAAGGCTAAGGCAAGAGGATTGCAGGTTCAGCCTCAGCAACTTAGACCCTGAGCAACTTGTTTCAAACAGGGCTTGGGATGTAGCTCAGTAGTAAAGCACCCCAGGGTTTAACCCCCTATGGAGAGAGTGTGTGTGTAATCTGGGTAACAAAATAATGGGCAATGAAATGAAACTGTTTTCTTTGGGGACAGGGCAAACTGGAAAAAAACTGGTATATAAGAATGCCTTAGGCAGGCCCTTTTTAAAGCAATGTTAGATTTGTCTGCATGCTGCTTGGCAACTGTATTCTCACAACCATAATTTTCAATTTTAGAAAACTCAGTAGCAATTAGCAGAAAGGCTCCAGTAAAGGAACAGCTTTGAATAGATCTTATAGTCTTGGAGGAATGCAGGAAGGTTTCTGTTGATTGGATATTTCAGGCGCTGATTGCAGTGAACTCTGAAGTGTGCTCAGCTCTAGAATTTGAGCTACCTTTTTGTTGGGGAGGGGGGCGGAGGGGCAGGGGGGGTAGCAGAGATTGAACTCAGGGGCACTAAACCACTAAGCCATATCCCCAGACCTATTTTCTATTTAAAAATAGGGTCTCACTGTAGAGCCTCACTGTTGCTGAGGCTGGCTTTTAACTCCAAACCTCCTGCCTTCTGCCTCCAGCCTCCTGAGCTGCATGTGCCACCGTGCCCCTTGCTGGAGCTACCTTTTAAGGGGTCTTTCATGAATAGAGGTCCCTAAGACCTCTATTCAGACTTTCTGCTTTGGAAAATCAGTAGTCTCCCAAATCAGTAGTCTATCTGCAGTTCATTACTGTGTATAAAAGTCTGTTCCTTTAAAATCTGTTCCATTACCTTTAGTGGCCTTTATGTCTTGTTAGTTTACATCCCCCTTCACATAGTTTACATCCCCCTTCACATCTCCCTTCCTCTGGGTTCCTTATCACCTCTGCAGTATAACCCAGTATGTGCTGTCTGAAGGGCCCTCTTGTCTGCTGCCTCAACCTTATCCGTCTTCCCCTGGGACAAAGCCATTCTGGGTTAACCCTTTGATCTTCAGACAAATCCTTCACAGAATTTAAAATTAAATGGAATGTTTTTAAATTGGGCCAAAGCCAGGAGGGTCCATGTACCTTTTCAGTTTCCCCCACAATTGGTTTCTCTGATTTGAACTGAAATGCATCCTAACAATCCCTTTGTTGGTCCTTGTCCTTTCCATTTGCTCAGTAAATAGATGAGGAAGTGTTTTTTGGGTTAGGGGAAGATAAAAGGAACCTAAAATTTTTGAGTCTCTTCTGGCTTGGGTCCCTCGGTCAATTCAACTCTGTCAGGCTCATGTTCTACTCCAGCCATCCCTACACCCCCCAAGAAAAAGCAAACAAACACTTGATTGCACTACCCTTTATTCCTAGAATGGAGGTGCCCTGAATCACCTGGGCTCAAGTCCCATGGTTAAGGCTTCCAGCCCCTCAGAGTTGGAAAAGCATGTTTAGGGAGGCTCACTGGGCAGATGGCCAAGGTCCCTTTCAAGGGGGTACACCATAAAGATGACATTGCCCCAGGGAGGGAGGGCAGGATGATCTGGTCTGACCACTTCAAAGCCCATGTAGCTGAAGGCCCGCAGCAGAGCACCTGTGAATGACAAAACAAATGGTTAGAACACTGAAGCTCAAGCCACAGGTTGCCCGGAGATTTGGTTTCTTCAGCTAAGAAGGTGGCCTCTGGCTGGGAGGCTATGTAGTGCAGAAATTAGGGTGTTTGGACTGGAACAGACTAGGCTTCAGCCCTGGATTTAACACTTGTAACATTCTGGGTTAACCCTTTGATTCTTCAGTTTTCTCATTTGTGAAGTGAGGATCCCAGAACCTCCTTCATGGAATTTAAATGTGCTTAAGTGTTTAGCACAGTAAACTCTGATAAACTCTGAATTGTATCTGTTTTTGAAGAATGGCCCTGAATAGTTGTGTAATTTCACCAATGCTCCCTTAGTCTGGCCTCTGACACCTGCAGGGGCTTCCTAATAGTCCAGTTTTAACTTGACTACAGAATGTTTAGTGCCTTCGTTTGTTGGAGAGAAAAAAAATCCCTGTAATGCCACAGGATCTCTTTTTTTTTTTTTTTAAGAGTGGGGGGAAGAGGGACTCCTACAAAGGAAAAGGAGTTCTCAAGCTGCCTGAATATAAAGGATGAAGGACAGCAGCTCCCCACCTCTGTCCTTCCGATCATTTTGGAAGTTCACAAACACGGAGTCCACATTGGTTTTCTCCTCCACATACTCCAGTGTTGCTGTCAAACTAGAGGCCAGAGAAAAACAGTTAATGACATGCTCAGCCAAGCTCAATCTAGAAAGACACCTAGTTGAAGCAGAAGAAATATTGGTCAGTTTCTTCTCTCCAGCCACCCAACACTAGATTTTTTCCTCTGAAGCCAAGGGATTGCACACAACTGATCTGAGTACAAGCCATAAAGCAGGTCTAGGAAGAAGGGACTAGCTCAAAAGTACTTCCTGTTCAATGATTTCTGGATCCCCACCAAGTCCAGCAGTTTCCCATGAATGTTATCCCTCGTTCCCCAGATCCTGACTCAACAAAGACTCGTCTCCATGCCTCTTGAGTGTTTTGTATCCAGGCCCACTTACTGATTGTGACATGATAGAAGGGTGACATTCTCCACCCCTTCCTCCCCACTCATCCGAATTTAGTCACCTTTCCCGGTTGCCCTGATCCAAGGCCCGAAATGGGATATCCAGGAAGAGCCGGTGGTCACTAAGAAGGCCGTGCCAGTGGGTGGAGGTCTTGGGGGTGAGGCGGAAGTGGAAGTCTAATTGTACTGGATTCTGGTGGAGCAGGGGGTCAGTAGTAAGCACTGTCAGGTTCCCAGCCTGGAAGAGGAATAAAAATGAGTGTAATAGTCCCCTGCATCGGAAACCAAGGAGGGAAGATAGAGGAGCCTCTGAGAAGTGAAGCCAGTGTCTTAAGGATTCAAAACTATCCTAGGAGCTAAAGCCGCCCCCTGTTGCTGAACTCTAAACAATCTGGCTTATTGTTCAAACTAAAATTCATTATCTAGATCCTTTCCCACTCACTATTCTTCCACTTTTGTCATTATGGAGATTCTCTCAATTCCCCCTTTTCTCATTTAAAATGCAGAAGTTATGAGTAGGCATATTACTGCCATACAATACCAGAGCAAGGGCAGGAGTTCTGGATTGTAGACCAGCTTAGCATCTAAATAGCTTTATGTTCCAGAAATCCTAATATAGTCCAGTGTACTTTGGTTCCCACTTTTTTCCTCATCCCTCTTCACTACCAATTGAATGACCTTAAGATCTCTGGGCCGGAACCCTTCTCTATAAATTAAATAGCTTTTACACAAGAGGTCTATGGTCCCATCTGCTAAATTTGCTGTTAATTTTCCAAATTGCTAACGCCCCCTCTGAGAGGTATTACAGGGGCTGCCCTGCCACAGCACTGGCTCACAGTCCACTTACCGAGTACAGTTCTTTAAGCTGGTTGTGGTCTTTTCCCTGCTCAGCACTTCTGCCCACCTGGAGGCCTACTGGGGACTCAGGAGCACTGGAGGCAGCAGCGGGGCCTGAGGGTCAAATCCTCGTGTTCCTTGTAAGTGTAACTGGTTGGGAGGGAGAGATCAATTAGTTCACATTGAAATCTGAGATGAGAAGAGAGTCAGCTGGTACCCAGGGCCAGGCAGTCTTCTGTACTGTCCACATTAGCAGTCTTTTCATTTTCCCAGGTCAGCCACATGGAAAAGTTAGTTTCCATGCCATCTTTCTATTCCCATTTTGCTATTATTTCCTGCCACTTGGGGCAATTCTTTGAAATTTTCATTTTCCCTTACAGTTTATAGAAATAACCACAAATAAAGATGAAAAGTTACCTTTTATAAGGATAACACCAAGGCAGCATTTTCTCCCGGAGGCTCATCCGGTATTTGTAGGAGTAAAGATAGTAGGCGTATGGTGACCAGGTGGGATAGCAGGGATAGCAGCAGTTCCGTGATCTTCCCCTCCGAAGACAACAGAGGGAGTAAAGGGAGGGGCGGGACCTGTTACAAGGCAGTTTCTCTGTTCAGTGCCTCCCTGCGGCAAAGTGAGCTCCACAGCTCCAGTCCCCTTTTGAAGCATCCTGTTCATTGTGACCTGGCAGGCATTATGACATAGATGAGGGGTCAGCCCATATGTCATTTCAGGGCCCCACCCTATCACCAAGGCTCATATTTAAATACTATGTGCTTCATGGCAAACTTCTGTACTGGTTGGCAAATAGTCCTGTCTGAACACTAGTGCCCACCCTCCCTGGCCCTTCCTCTGAGATGCCTCCTCCCCCTAAAATCCACCAACTAAAGAGTTGGTATCTGACGCTTCCAAGGCCCCCATCCTGCATTGTCATCATTAGTTAGTTCTCAGTTCAGTTTTTTATTATCTCTTCCCTTAACCCAGGGGTACTACAAATTGTTGAACTTTCTCCATTGCCTTATAGGGTAGGAATTACAAACTACATGCTTCCAGGGACCCAGACAGCTAGTGGAGCTGCAGGGTAGGGCTGTTAAAAAAAAATGGGAGGCTGGGGATGTGGCTCAAGTGGTAGCACCCTCACCTGATATGCGTGAGGCACTGTGTTCGATTCTTGGCACCACATAAAAATGAAGATATTGTGTCCACCTAAAACTAAAAAATAAATATTAAATGGGATGCTTACACCCCATCTCAAAGAAGTCCACACAACTCAGCTGCATCTGGTTGTCATGTGGAAATGCAGAATTGTGGTGCCAGATCTTATAATTTTTTTTAACAAAAACTAGAAAGGATTTGTGGTAGACTTCAGTATTTAAAAATATACTGGCTACTGATGATAAAAAAATTAACACTGTGCTGGGTACACTGTAATCCCAGTGACTTGGGTGGCTGAGGCAGTAGGATCATAAGTTCAAGGCCAGCCTCAGTAATTTATCAAGACCCTCAGCAACTTAGACCCTGTCTCAAAATAAAAAGGACTGGGGATGTAGCTCAGTGACAAAGCACCCCTAGGTTCAATTTCCAGTACCAATTTTTTTTTTAATTAACACTTTGAGCAAAGTTTGGTTAGGGGGCCACTAGTTGAAGACCTCTCTGCATATTCATTTAACCATCCATTCAACAAATATTTGAGAGCCTACTATGAGCCAGGCACTATTCTAAGTGCTTGGGACATATCATTGACCAATACAAAGATCCTTCTCTCCTAAAATGAGAAAACAAACCTAGAAAATAAATAATGTTAGAAAATAACTGCTATGGAGCAGAGGACAGGATAAAGGGAAATTAAGAGTGTGAAAGGGATAGAGGAGGGTTGTAGTAACCAATTATTCAAATGGACCCCACTGGAGAGGTAACATTTAATAAAAAATTGGGGGAGTTATGGTTGTTAACCAAGCAGTGTCTGAGGGTAAATCGAGCATTACATTCAGAAGTAACAGCCAAGGCTGCAGGAAATGTGCCTAGGGTTTTCAAGAAACTTCAAAGTGGCCACTGTGAGTGGGGCAGTATAAGCTGTAGAGCTAATGAGACCAGATTATATAGTACTTTCTAGATCACTGTATGGATTTCCCCCACTCTAGGTAAAGGGTAAGTCATTACAAAGTATTGGGTGGAGGGGTGCATGATCTGAATTAAGTTTTAGAGACAGTCTTCTGAACGCTATAGTACAAATAAGCTGAGGAGATCTGTTGGGAGAGTATTACAATCATCCAAGAGAAAGATAGTGTTTTATTCCAGAGCAGAGCACTGGAGGTGATGGCAGTTGGATTCTTGAAATAGTTTAAAGGTAGAACCTACAGAATTTCCTGATGAACTAGATGAGGAGTTAAGGTGAGTCCAATATCTGAGTTTCCTTCAACTGAAATGGGAAAGGCTTTAGGTGGGGCAGTTTGGGGGAAGAACAAAAATCACTTTGGGGACATGTTAGCTTTGAGATGGCTCAGTCGTATAAGAAGACGATGAGGAGCTGGGGTTGTGGCTCAGTGGTAGAGCACTTGCCTGGCATGTGTGAGGCACTGGGTTCCATCCTCAGCCCCGTGTATAAATAAATGAACAAAATAAAGGCCCACTATTTATTTATTTTTTTTTTTAAATAAAGGAATCTCTTTAAAAAAAAAAAAAAAGTTAAGAGCTCGGCGCCATGGCGTGCGCCTGCACTCGCAGCAGCTCCGGAGGCTGAGACAGGAGGATCGGGAGTTCAAAGCCAGCCTCAGCTGGCTCTAAATACAATTCGAAACAGGGCTGGGGACGTGGCTCCGTGGTCGCCCTCGGAAAGGGGGAGAAGAGAGCCGGCCAAGGGCGGTGTGCGCAGGGCTGGTGTCCAGGAAGCCTGAGTGCCGAGGAGGGGCGGCTGCGGCCTGCGGAAAGGCCCCGCGGGAGGAAGCACCGAGCGCCCTTCCACGGCCTCCGCCAGACAGGCCCTCCGCTGTCGGGGCTGAGCCCGGCCGCCGGGGCCCCTGGCCTCCCCGACCCGGCCCTCGTCCCTCGGGGTTCGGAAGCCTCCGGTACTGGCGGCCCTGAGAGGCTGCTCCTGGGGGGCGCTTTCCGGAGGAGTCCGGCCCGTGGCCGTCTCCAGAGCGATCTGAAGTTAAAGTGAGATGGCCTCTTCTCCAGGGTCCGCCCGTCACTCGAGGTCGGGGTGACTCCAGAGAGTGCGCCCCGCCGAAGCCGCCAGGTACCGCACGCCTCGGTCGGCACGCGCCACGGAGGGGAGCCCAGCGCGCCGCAGCGCCCGCCCGAGCGCCCCCCAGCCTGCCCCGAACTCAAAACGCCGAGAGGAAGCGCGGCCGCCGGCTCAGGCGCGCCGCGGGCAGCCCGCGGGGCCTTCCTGCGCCTGCGCCGGCGTCGGGCCTTCCGGTGCCGCGAGCCGGGCCATGGCGGCCGCCGCGCTCGCCGCTCTCCGCGGCTCTCCGCTGCTGGCGGCTGGTGCGCGGCTACTGCGAGGACGAGGACGGCAGCCGCTCTGGCCGCGACCTGCCGGGCCCCCCCCGGCCCTGGAGCGCGACCTCAGCCTCTCCCACCGTCGGGTGAGCGGGGCGCGGGGCGCGGGGCGCGGGGCGCGGGGCGCGGGGCGCGGGGCGCGGGGCGCGGGGCGCGGGGCGCGGGGCGCGGGGCGCGGGGCGCGGGGCGCGGGGCCGGGCGGCTCGCTCACTCCGTCTGCTCGGCCGCCAGGGCACGGTGGTCGTGGAGCGCTGGTGGAAGGTGCCGCTGGCCGGGGAGGGCCGCCAGCCGCGTCTGCACCGGCGACACCGCGTCTACAAGCTGGTGGAGGACACGAAACACCGGCCAAAGGAGAACCTGGAGCTCATCCTCACGCGGTCTGTGGAGAGTAAGGCCCCGGCTCCCCCGGCTCCCCCGGGCTCCTCCGGGCTCCCCCGTGCTGGGCACGGCCTCCAGGACGGGCCAGCGCTCCTGTGGGGGCCAGACCGTTGTCACCAACGGCCTCTGTTTCCCATGGCAGAACTTGGAGTCCGCGGTGACCTGGTTTCAGTCAGCAAGTCTTTGGGTCGCAATCGGCTCCTTCCCCAAGGACTCGCTGTGTACGCATCCCCTGAAAACCGAAAGCTGTTCGAAGAAGAGAAATTGGTGAGCTCAAAGGGAAGACAGAGGGACAGTGAGGATTAAATTTTAAGGTTTCCTTTTACTGCTTACTTTGAAAATGAGTCGGAACAGAGATGCAGAAGCCCGGCCTATGTCCAACATAGTAAGAGTCTGACGTTGTTTAACATGGGCTCATTTTTCTTTTACTTATTTCCACTTTTAACTTGCTTTTCTAGCTGAGACAAGAAGGAAAATTAGAGAGGATCCAGACCAAGGCAGGCGAGGCGGTGAGTAGAAACATAGGAAGCCTTTATTGGCCATTTACAGGAGTCACCAACCTCTTTCTAAGAGTTTCCCTGATTCTCTTGACGTTTTCTGATTGCACACACAAGGGTTGGGGAAAGAAATATTGTGATCACCCCACATAACTGGTATGGAGACATCTTGGTAGTCCTGACCTGTTGGGAGAAGTGCCCTAATTGTTGAGGGAGTTCCCAATCTGGAAACTAGGGGATCTATAGAAAAATGTGAGGTGAGGACTCTGCCTTCAGAGATAGTACAGACAAGTTGGGAAGAACTAGACACATGAGAAGGTAATGGGTAAACTCAAGGTGGTAAATTATTATAAGAGTTATAGAGACCATAATGAGTTCCAGAGTAATTGAGGAGGGCTTTTTTGTTTTTTCCAGTTGGGACTAAATGAGACCTTTTGGGATTAGTTAGCTTTGAATAGGCCAGAAAGATGGGGAAAGTGTTTTTAAAGGAGAAAAAAAGTAGAAATTTAAGGCATGTTTTAACCTAGAGTAGACCAGTTTAACTAAAGCAGAGGATTTATATAGTGTAATATTAAAAAACATGACTGAAAAGGGGATTGGGACAAGATATACAAAACATCTTGAGTCTTCAATTAATGAATTTATACTTTATTCTGTAATCAGGAAAGAGCCATTAATGGGATATGGGTGGATTTCAAGGGTCAGTATAGGTAACACACACACTCCACCCACCCACAAAGTATTGCTAAAATATCTATCACAGCAGCCTTAAGACAATAAGAATGTTTTGTCATTCTTACTCCTTTCTCACCTGTCTTGGCTCTGAGGTAGAAATAATGACCTTTACCTGAAACTCTCAATCATTATAACTCCTTCTAACATGTTTTCTCTTCTTGGACTATAGTTCAGACCCCATCCTATTTATAATTCCTTTCAGACAGTGAAATTTCTGAGAAACTGTCACTTGGAGGTAGGAATGAAGAACAATGTCAAATGGGAGCTGAATTCTGAAATAGTTGCCCGCCACTTCCTTAAGAATGTGAGTGTTTGCAAATATCACCATACTCCTGAGGGGGGAAGCTACTTCTGGGAAGGAGGCCCAGCCTTGAACCCTTTGTCAGGAAAGGATCTGATCATCTAACTGGAGTTAAGGAAGGTTTCTCAGATTTTTGAAGGGTGTGGGAAGGAAATGGCTAAGAACTAAAGATAGGCAAAGAATTTAAAGATTTGATAGGAAAAGGTCATGGTTTCCATTTATTTTCTCTCTAGCTAGGGAGAACCTGGGGATTTATGATTCACTAGAGAATTGTTACTTTGTAGATGAAGTAATTTTGGTCTCAAGCCCTGTTTTCTTTTGTGAATCTACCTCAGTTTCTCTGCTACTTTCTGGAGAGTCTGTGCCTTCCCAGGGGATCAGCTAGAGTGAGCTCCCCAGTTTTAGTCATCCCTCTATAGGCAGTTGTAGAACCTGCTTTATGAGGTTGCCTAGAGTGGGAGCCATGAGTTCATTTGATTTTTTTTTTTTTTTTTTTGCAGCTTGGTGTCGTGGTTGCCCCTCATGCATTGAAACTACCAGAGGAGCCTATCACACGGTGGGGCGAGTATTGGTGTGAGGTGACGGTGAGTGTTTCATGTAATTTTTCCTTTTTCTTACTGGGTGAGAAATCAGTATGAAGAGCTGGGATTGTGTGATGTTAGTCATTACCTGCCTGACTAATCCTTAAGGATTCCTCTTGTTATGTGTTCAGGTCAATGGGCTTGACACCGTGAGAGTTCCTATGTCTGTGGTGAACTTTGAAAAGCCCAGGACCAAAAGATATAAGTTCTGGTTGGCCCAACAAGCTGCCAAGGGCCTGGCCTCCACCAGTTCCCAGACTGTCTGAACCTACTCTCCCTGCAAGACTGAAAAGCAGAATCAGTAGCAGTGAAACAAAAAGGGGCCAGTACCCTGATCGCACTCCCATACCTGACCAAATATGGAATTTTAGAGAACATTTGGACTCATCGGACTGAACGGTATATACATGTTGAATTCTCCATTTTCGCCATCTCCATCATATCCAGCTCCATCAGAGCACTTTTGCCAAAGAAGTACTAGGCTGTTGATTTGATAAACTGGATACCAGTGGAATGAAACAGTTTAGATTCTATTTAGTCTCTTCTTTTATTGGAGTTGATTGAAACAAATGGAAGAGTTAGCCATTGTCTTTAATTTCATCATCCAAACTGAATATTTGTATCTCAAGCAGAAATAAAATGTGCATTCTTGATAGGTATAATGGCACACACCTGTAATCCCAATGATTTGGGAGACTGAGGCAAGAGGATCAGAAGTTCAAGACCAGCTTGGACATCCTTGTTTCAAAAAATAAAAAGATCTGAGGTGTAGCTCAATGGGAGAGTGCTGCTGGGTTCAATACCCAATATCACACACTTGAATAAAAGAGGTGTGGTTTTTTTTGTTTGTTTTTTGTTTTAACTGGACTTGAGTACACTGGGGATAAGACATCCAAGTGGAATATGTTCTTGAGCACTGAGGTTTGCTGCCCCCCCAAAAAAGGAGAGAATATACCAGCTTGCTATATTCCATAGGTGCTCTGAGCAAATTACTCTGAATAAACTGATATGTCTTTAGTCTTAAAGCTTACTGTCATTAAATATAGTGATATAGTCATTAATATGAATAATGTGATTCTGCTTCTCTAAGGAGATCTGAATAAGGCCTACAGGTAATTGATGGAAAATGAAGCTGGGATGAAAGAAGCTTTAAAAAGGAATGTATATGTGTATATTATTTCTTGAATGAGCTTCTGGAATTCTGAAAATTGTTTTTTGAACTACCTCCTGAAATTCTTGAGCACAATGAAGATAAGGAACTCACTAAGTTGTACGGATAGATGTCTTGATGGGAGATGAGATAGTTCTGCATAAGTTTATATTGACAGGTGGATTGTGCCAGGTTCACTCATATATAATTGAGTTCATGCAATTGAGGGGAGGTAAAGATAAGACTCCTGTCAAACCCACCAGAAGCTCAGAGATCTGTTTCTGTCATCCTATTTGAGCTGACTTGTCACTCTGAGCCAGTTAAGCATTTTCATCCCAAATAAGGTCTATCAATAGTTGCACTGATAACTACACCCACCCTCACACGTGCCAGAACTCTCTAAATCAGATGGAGGACTAGTACTGTTTGAAATTTGCCGTTCCTACTTTCCTTAAAATGGAAGACTTATATAATAGCATCTTCATTTATTTTTTTTTTAAGAGAGGGGATTTTTTTTTTAATATTTATTTTTTAGTTTTCGGCGGACACAACATCTTTGTATGTGGTGCTGAGGATCAAACCTGGGCCGCACGCATGCCAGTTGAGCGCGCTACCGCTTGAGCCACATCCCCAGCCCTATAATAGCATCTTTCAATTGATCACCATTATGATGTTCTCTGAAATTGAGCAACAGGCACGTTTCACACAGCTTATTTCAAAAAATGTTTAAATACTTCTAGATTAATTTCCTGGCAAGAACAGTTGGAGATTTGTATGAAGAAAGTTTATTGGGAGGGAGTCCTCTGAATCAATGCTTGTTGGGGAGAAACAGAAACAGGGTTGGGTAGAGGAAAGAGTTGAGCTGATGCCATCTTACAAAAGGACTCTGGATTGTACTAGAAGCTCAAACTAGGATGCTCCAATAAGCAGGTGGGTTAAGCCTACATATCTTTCTATCTGGCCCAGAAAAGGGCATGACCTGGGTGAGGTAGAGAGCTTCGGCCAAAGATAGTTCTTACCCAAGCCCCCTTTGGGAACAATCAGCTGTCAGCTTTTTCAGCAATTTGGGGACTGAATGCTTCAGTCCTATGGTAGACAGTCCACTTTTTTTAACTGCTCAGAACCATTTGCTTTATAAATTCTGGGGCAGACTAGTCCCTTCCTGCTTTAGCTTGATTTGAATGTACAACTGGTATTCATCTTCCTCCTGCTCAACCCATTCTAGATTTTTTAGCTGACCTACCCCCTTAGACTTATACTTCTGCTGGTCCAAGTGGGTTACCTGATTAGGTACCTAACCATCATATTCTTCTTAGGCCATGATTGTACTTGTCCTTTATCTTCAAAATAGGGCAGGAGAAAGAAAGATACTCATGAATGGCCTGAGTGCCAAATTCATTGTTCCTTGTCCCCATTGTGTAACAGCAGCCCCATCTGCTGATGATCAAGGTCAGTTACTCCTGTTGCCTTACCTTCTTGTCTCTTGGCATTGATCTGAAGCTTAGAGTGTAAGCTATGTGTTTGTCTACTGATAGAAATTTTTTTTTGGGTGTGGGGGACCAGGACTTCTAAACCCTCAGAGCCCAGAGTTAGAAGTTCAACAATGGCAAGTGACTGTCTGGTCACTGCTATGCAGCTTGCCTTTGCTTTCTCTCCTTGCTTGTGCCAAATTCTGTACATATCACTTCCATCTTATGAAAGATTGCTGCTGGGCCACCCCTCCCCACGATATGAGTTGTGGGTCTGACAAAACCCAGAGTATAATAATTATTTCTGGCAACATGGCCACTTGATGTCCCATGGGCATCAACTAGAACTCAGTAACAGGCCAGGAGCTAACTTTTGAAAGTTTGAATAATGCTCATTTTCCAAAGGCATGGCCTTGCTCCAGAGCTGTGAGGTCTGTGTGTCTCTTCCTACTAGGGCTTGCAATAAACATTGTGTGGTCTTTTCCTACCACTGACACCTCTAGTATAATATGGTATTTTGTAGATCAAGTACTAGGACCATTTGGGCCACAGTCCAGACCTGCTGCACAGCTTTTTCCTGCTCTTCGTCCCACCCACACTTGGCGGTTTTTATTGTCATTTGATATTTGTGTCAAAGCAGTAGTCCTGTTGTAGGGACAAAGGACAAGGCACTGAGGACAGCAGGAAACAGTTTTATTTGGCTGCAGCCAGGTTCAGGGGGCACAGCTTCTGCTGTAATCCATCAATCCCCTGAACCCCGAGTTCAGGGAGTTTCAGAGTTTTATACCCAGCTTGTAAGGGGAGGGGCTCAGAAGTTCACAATCTGCAGAAGTTCACATAAAAGCAGCTTTTTCTCTCACTGTTCTGGGCAAGTTAACCCTTCAAGGACCACACCTGAGAAGGGGAGAGCTTCTTCTCCCCTTTCTTTCCTCCCCCTGCCAGCTGTTACCATGGAGCCCAATTGTAACTTTTCTTAAAAATACAGACATCTCTGTGAAGCCCAGCTCAAGGCCAGAGGCCTTGTTGGCACATTTCTTCAAAGTACTATACTGGATACATTTGTGAAAAACTAGTAAGGGGTGTCCAGCACCTGGAGTGCTGGTATCTTCTCAGCCAGTGGCCAAGTAAACAGGGCGACATGAAAATAGGAAGTTTATCTACAATGGACTCTTTTGCTGACAGTCCTAAAATCAGCCATGGTGAAGAGGGCTTTTCTGTGGAGAAAGGGGGTGCCACTTCAGTCCCACGGGTGGAATATACTATCTGTAAACCTCAAAGTGGTTTACCAGGCACTGAGCTCCCTTCTTAATAGAGGTATAAAATGCAAATTTCCTTTACTTATGAGGGAATATCCTTTTGTGCTCCAGATCACTGAACTTCCAGGAACTTCGCTGACGGGCAGGATTCTGAAAACCTGCTTGTACTCAGTTTGTGTATCACCATTTGAAGAATTTTTATTCTGCCAAGGCCCCATTTCTTGCCATTTCTTGCTCATCCTGTACAATTACCAATAAAGTACTAGGATGTATGGAATGTCCAGATGGGCCACATTCCTTCATACTATGTTTTAACAGAGGGTTGGGCATGGTCCAGGGATGAGCTATAACTGTGTATTATTATTTCTCAATAGTGAAAGCAAGTACCAGGGATTGAACCCAGGGGCGCTTAACCACTGAGCCACATCCCCAGCACTTGTGTAGGGCATGATGTAACGTGGGGCATGTTGCATCAGAAAAGAGGAAACTTAACTTGCTGGCTGCTACCCGCTTCCCAGTCCTGGGGCCACATGTGGCTAAGATAGCACCTAGCGATTAGCCAGAAGGCATTGCTGTGGGTTGTGATGAAGAATTGGACCACCTCTAGGATAGACTCAGAACCCTTCTGCCCTCACGGACAGCTCACAGCTCGTGTCTCCGTTACTGCCTGTAGGATGGGTGTAGATGTAAATTCTCCCCACCCTGCTGACCTTTACCCTGATTGGCTCCTGTACATTATATTAGCTGTGTGTGTTTTCTCAGTAAAGGAGATCCTGCTTTGACTGTTCTCCCTGGAGCCTCTGATTGTCCTCAGACTGTCCTGATTGTCCTGAGAGTCAGACCTGAACCTGAATTTTGTCATTCTGCACTGCCACTGTAATAGAGGTCCACAATGGTAGGATATCAGATCCTGGGATGTGAATGTCAAATAAAACTATATCCAACAGTTCTCAAAAGATTTAGGTATTCCTCTTTCTCTGATTTGTATTATGTACATAAAAGGTCACAAGTCTCTGTGGGATAGGACTGGGGTAATTATTATACACTTGTCTTGGTGTTTCAGAGTCCTTTCCCTTAGGAGTGTAGCTTCCAATGGTTTCTAGCGGAAAAACTGGCTCAAGAAGACTCCTACTTCCACTCATGAAGGAATCACAGCTACAAATTGCCTTCCCAGTATAAATTACAAAAACAGAAACAAAGTATTTTAAAATGGAGTTGGCCAGAAATGGAAAGGCAGAACACTGGAGATGAGGAAATGACAGAGAAGTTTGGATATCTATAGAATGTCCCCCTCAGTGTTGGGCTGGTACCTGGGAGGTAGCTCAGTGACAGGGTGTGTGCTTAGCGTGTGAGAATCTGGGATCAAGACACAGTACCACTCAAAGAAAAAATTTGAATGCTGACATGTACACGAAAAGGTAAAATTCTACTAAGCTGGGAGTTAAAACATACAGGCGTGCACAATCAATGGGTAGGCCAATCAATTCCCAGAGCTCACACAGAATTGGAGAATATTTCATTTGTGTTTCTGTCTGCCAGAATTAATAGATCTTATAATACATGGGGCATGAGATACCAACTTAAAAGGACTCACTAGGGCCTGGGGCTGGGGCTCAGTGGTAGAGCACCTGCCTTGCATGTGTGAGGCACTGGGTTTTATGCTCAACACCACCTAAAAAGTAAATAAATAAATAGATTGTGTCCATCTAGAACTAAAAAATCTTTTTAAAAGGGACTCACTGGGGGCTGGAGATGTGGCTCAAGCGGTAGCGCGCTCGCCTGGCATGT